CTGGGTGATTCAAGGCTCAATAGCTGAAATCAGGCGTTCCAGGAAAATCCTTATAACTCTTGAACGGAACAAGTTAGAAAGATAGGCTTTGTGTAGATCGAAAGAGAACAGTTTTTTCTATCGAATACTCAAACTAACAATCCAAATCAATCGAGAAATAACTCCAGAAAATCGCTTTCAAAATGTTCACCGAGAAAAAACCTGATTGGCCCATTGTAAATCAATCAGATTTCAACCCTGATTTATGCCCCTGGGTCTTCTCTTTTTAATGGTGAAAACTGCAGCTCTCTATCTTGTTCCTATCAGAAGTTATTCAAAAAATGGCCACTCGCCTTTTTTTTCGGACAATAGTTATACGACTGATAGATTCATGAAATCATACGGTAATGATGACTGGATTGCCATTACTAGTTGCTCTGGCCTTCAACGAGTCTGTGAAATACTAGAAGCTGCCTGCCACTGTAGGTCTGCGCTCTCCGAACCAACATGATTAGGATTAATGGTAATGCTTGAAAACATGTAATTTAGATCTGCTCACTATAGTAAATGAAAATTTTCTTCATCGATGAATGTGATAATCATGCCGGTTATGGGATCGATAGAGCCAAGAAAACCTCCGGTGATGGACATTAAAAGCGTACTGCTGGTTATCCTAAGCTTTGATGAGTCGGTAGAATGTTATAAACCGACTATCACCGTAGGTTCCCGGCATTTTAACAGCTATTGTTGTCCTTAATGGTGTTTGTTGACGCGACATACCTAATTTTTTTGTATAAGCATCTTTCATACCCAGATAGTCTCGCACTAACAAATATCAGCTGAATGAGCATCTTGATGTTGTCTGACGTACGCCTACGGTCAGCATCGTACTGAGGGAGCGGTCAGTATATAGAAACATTTTATTAAATTTGTGAAGTATGATCATAAATCACAGAAAGTAGAGGGATACCAAATATATGTGCATTTTTCGATTATGAGATGGTCAGCTTCATTTTTAATAAGACACAGTTGAACTTGAGTAGCTTTATCTGCAGTACATTGTGACCGGTGCTGACGGTGCTCGTATACCGGTGGGTCGATGGCACTGGTCTTACGGTGAACCAGCGGACCGGTGAACGGTGAACCGTAGATCGATCACACGGGTGACCACCGTCACCGTTGCATCCCTAGCCCACACCCAAACACGCTTAAATTCTCTTTTTGGCTTCTCATCTGTTACTGTAATGTGTATTAACATTGTTTTTGTTTTGAAACATTCACAGATAAAAGTAGGTCCTTCGCAAAGTTGTCGAGTGCTTTTTATACAATTTTTGCTTGACTTTCAAGATGTTCTATATTATCCAACAGTTTCTTTTCCAGTGCTCCGTTAACAACTGTCGTTAGATCATCTGCGAATAAACGAGACACAATATGAGCAAAAGAACTAGGCAATAAGTATATGTAAATTCGAAATAAAAGCGCTGCAAGTACGGATCCTTGTCGCGCGCCTTGAAAGATTTTGATGATTCCTGACTTTGCCTCTCTATAACTGATCGTTATAGAGCGATTTTGCAACTACATATATATCCATTGCCATAGATCTATTGAAATATCGATATCATCAAAACTTTTAAATAGTGCTGGATACCATGTTCGGTCAAATGTTGTCATACAATCAACGAAGATTGTTAACACTCGACGGTTTCATACCGTTTTTGTTAGTCTTATATCCTCTATGAGAGATAGTATTCTTGTCTGAAGCTCGCAATTAGCAGTAAAACCTTCTTGTTCATCAACACTTATTTCGTTGTCAAGACACCAGATTTCTATCATCTCTGCTATGATGGTTTACATTCATTTTCCCAAATCTGGTAATAGAGATATCGATCTCACGAGGAAGGGTCACCAACTGACCAATTGCTTTTGCGTTGAGACTAGGTACATCATGTAGATACCAATGAGCTATGAATATCCTGAAAAAAGTTCGGGCCACTAGCTTATTGCTATGGAGATACTACATATTTACGATGTGTTTTTAAATGAATGCTGTGGTCCTCATCAGGAACATGAGAAAAAAATGATTTTCGAATTTCGACTTGAAACTTCATGTAGAAAGAGATCCTACCAAGAATAGTATTTGTTAATACTTTCAGATCTTTTAGCTGTTTCTATGCGTAGAAACAACTATAATAGCTTCATTTGAATAAACCAAAAGATTTGATGTTCTCATTTCACAATAGGAGAAAATTAAACGACCTAAAACTTTCACAAATAACTACTCTCGGTAAGGCCTGTTTTTATGTAAAGTTTCGAGTAGAATTTCGAAAATCAGTTTTCTGGTGCTTCTAAGGGGGCTACGACATTCATTTTAAAAACATATCGTAAAAGTGACGTCTTTTTGTAGCAATAAACTAGCGACCCGAAGTTTTTTCAGGCTATTCATACCTCATTGGTACCTACATAATGCACATGGTCCCAATACAAAAGCGATTGATCAGTTAAAATAGCCTTCTGTCGTCAGTCTATCATCGGTTGGGCATATTGCATCTTTGGATAGACACGTATTCCTTGCATGCTTTGCCCGCTCAAAGAATGCCTCATTTTCAGTGCATTCGTTGAATAGAACTATTATAACTTACAAATATTCTGGGGAAGGTTTTTTAAAAGCAAGACTGAGGTATTTAAACTATTCAATCAGGTTTCGGCTTAAATTTCTTCCATTGTTCTATCACGTCATCTAGTTTTATTTGTTGAAGAAGAATATTAGCAGTGTATGCGATATGCGTATATGCTTCTAGGCATTTTATTGGTACATGCTATTTGTATTATAATTTACTTCTCAAAAATGTTTTTCGTAGTAATTTGTCTCGTATTCCACAAATTTCTTTCATACTTTCTTAAAAACCTACAAGTGTATTTAGCCTTCAAGAAAAAGGAGTATATTTTCTCAATGTTGAGCTTAAGTGTGGATGTGGGTGTTGGTATAGGTGTGAGTGTTACCGTGGCTATGATTGAGGCGAAGATCTCCACCGATATTTATATTCATATCCCTCACTCACACACACACCGACACCAAAACCCACATCTACGCCTACACCCAAACCCACTCATACCTACACCCACATCCACATCCTAGCCACATCCATACTCACCCACTCCATATGCTGGATTTACTGCTGTTGGTTGCACTGCCCTAAATAATACTTGTTAGACCCACTTCGCTCGTACGCAAAGTAAAAAAGAAGATAATCAGCTATTAATTGAACTAGCTAATTATATTAGACGTCAATCAATTCATTTTTCTATTAGGAAGGTAGTGCTTTATAATATATCGAGAATCCAGAGCTTTTCATTTTTATATACATATTGAACAGTCTATGTTTATTTCTCTACTTTTGGTTTGTATCCCCATGTAGCCGATTTTTAGAAATAATGTACATTGCAATGCATTATTTTTCAATAGAAATGCAATGGATACAATTACATGATAATGCAACCCAAATAATCCATTACAATGCATTTTTTATAAAAATTCATTGCAATTCATTGAAACATGAATGCATTAAAATGCATTGTTTGGGTTGCATTATCATGTAATTGCATACATTATTGTTAAAAATGCATTGTAATGCATTGAGAACGTCATACTTTATACTCTTATCCTTTTATGCTTACCTTCGTACCTTTAACTATATTTGCTTAACCCTATACCTTTAACTATAAACACTCAATGATACATCCTTAACCCTAAACCCTTATGCCTATATCCTTAATCCTATACCTCTAACCCTACACTCCAAACCCTTATACCTATATCCTTATTCCTATACCCTTAATACTATATCCTTAACCCTAT